AAACCATTACTTAACCTTAAAATGTTTAATTTTTATAATTTTGAGTGATGTTGACTGTCATTGTGTCATTGATTTATTAACATTTGTAAAATTGCAATACACAAAATGGAAATAATGGAAGATGATGAGGCTTTGAAAATGCTTGATTTCATTAATAGATACCACGAAGAATATAAAATAATATATACAAAAAACGATTACTTTTACACTGCGATTTGAATTGGCCGAAGAAAATTCTTAATTGCCTTGGTGAAATTAAAGCAAATTTATAGTATCCTTATAATAAATATGTAGGTTCCAAACTCAAATATTTTTACAGACAACACAATTATAACCATTTTTATAAAAAGTGTTTTTTTTGTGAATCTTTTTTGTAAAATTAGCATTAAACTCATCCCCATCTTTCAACGTTAGTATGATTTCCATAATTTTTTTTTTATATTAACTAATTGAATTAATACTAATTTTACTTTCATTATGGCTGTACTTCGTGCTCTATTTTATTACTTCTTAGTTTATCTATTTTTTTTAAATAGTCCTGTGACACAGGGGAGAGTTTTTTCTCTTCTGCGCCTGTGACAATCATAACTTTTGCTGCGTTCAGTGAGACATAACAATCCCAACCGATACAAATCGCTTTCGTTCTACGGTACGTATTGCTTTATATCGATCCGTATCATTTGGGAGCGTTTCATTTTTGCGCTAGTTTCTGCTTCTATCAAGAAAGATGAGCCGGAGACCTCTTAAAATCAACCTAGAACGCCTAAAACCAATCGCTATTTACGATTGTTAGAAGAACAACCTGGTTGTGCATTAATGTGATAAAAATAATAAAAAAATACTTAAATATTAAAATTATTGTACATTGTTGATGAAAACTCCAAGTGGCAAATAAACATATTCACTTTCAATTGAAAATGCTACGTGTCATTAAATTAGAATTATCCTTCGATACAAATTTAATTTTTGTAAATTGAGCGTACCGTTCAGTAAGCTGATTTCGCTACCCCAATCGCAGCAAGAATCCGATACACTCATTGAACGCAGCTTTCATTAAACATTCAAAATAAAATTCAAATTTGACATTATTTCTTCTTTTTCTAGAAAAATCTTGACGTTGCCAAATCAATCCGACACTTAATTAATCGTTGCTTTTTAATAGGCTGGTGCGAATTAAACTACGATAAGTAATACTTAAATAATAAGTTTCACTTTACTAAGGGGAAATTTATTCTAAAGCGGTGCGAATGGCCCTTACTAGCTTGCATGAGAATTGCCTTCTACCTATTACTTTCATTTTGTATTGATATTATATTGTACTATAAGTAATTAAAACGGTTGTAATGTTTAAATTGTTATAATGTTAATACTTTTTAGATAGAAACTTTTTGAAGCACACTGTGAATTCTAAAATAATTTTTAATTAGAGCTCTAATAGATATTCATCTTTCTGTATAAATGTAATTTAAAAAAATCATATGTCATAGTCTGGACCGACGTGTATAAGATGCCGCACCCTATATATGTTACAAATGGCTTTATATTCGTTCTAAGGTAAATGGGGTAATAATATTTACGATTGTATTATTATGTTAGTCCATTACCTTGGTCTTAAACCATTGGTCCCAGTCCTTTGGAGAGCATATGTGGGGCTGTGTAACCAACACGTAGAGGTTTGGTAAGGGATACACGTGGTGGATAAAATCCTCGACAGCATCTCATGATATACCCGGATATTATAATTGTTTATATATCACTGTAAAGTAATATTTACTATTATTTTCCTGTACTAAGCACTACAATAACAGAATATAAGCACTGGCTTATTCTGCAATTAGTTACATTTAGGATGGTATAACTTGGAACGGACAAGTAATTGAGATGAGTCGTAATGAAGAGAAATCCTCAAAAAGATCTTTCAATTGATATATAACTTATCCGTATTGGAGGTGGGGCAATTCCCATACATTTATGCCCATTGTCCTTTGCAACAAGAATGTCATAACTCAAACGACAATGATCTCATCGAATCATCGAAAAAATTATTCTAATACATGCGAAATGTCAAGAACAGGAATGTTATAACATGCTAGACACATTCCTCTTTGTTTGACAACAAGTAAGTTCTATCTCCGTTCAGGCAATACTTTATAAATATACTATTTATAGTCAATGTTAATAATAACAATGAGTATGTAACAGTGGCGGTTTGCCCGTAAGGACACTTGGGCACGTGCCCTAGTATAATAAACCAAAAAAAAATAATTACATATTTTATATTTTCCTCAATGCCTATTATTATTTTATCTAATATTCAGCGCGAATCGCGTTGGCACGACACTGGACGACCGGGCGTTAAGCGACGTTCCGAGAAGTCCGAAATTAAGTGGCAGGGCACAGTAAATGTGTGCCTCTGTTGCTTTATCTCTCATTATGATGCGAAAAACAAGGACAACGAGGGCGCTGTCCTAATCGTGACGTGCTTTACCCATGGCACAGATTACCTAGACCAGATACGAATGTACGCAGCGGCATCTTTACCGACTCCCTCACAAAGGTGCGCGTTTGTTGGACCATTGGAATAGTTAAGAAATTAAACTACAAAGAAAAATAACTTTTTTTTTTATAAAGCAATCAAAAATATGATGAAAAAAAATCAATAATATTTATAAACGGGACAAAAACTTATAGTCCAGTCATTTAAGCTTAAATTAGGTAAGAATCTCGGAATTCAAGATACCCAGCTGTAAGTCTGTAAATACTTGTATATTGACACCCTAAAAGTTGTCTCAAAACCTACATATGTTAGGGTGTACGCAACTATTAAATTTCAAGGTCAAAGGTCACAAAAATCGTTTTTTTTTGCGCTTTTTTTGAAAATATCTCATTTCCTATGGGGTTTTTTGCTATTTGTATTTATTATCAATATTGTAGAATACAAAATTCTCTATAAATTTTGTTTAAAAAAATTCAGACTACAGTAAGACCGTAAAAGCTATGGAGCAGCAGAGAAGAACTGCTGCACTTTCAAAAACGTATGAAGTCTGTTTCGATGAAACAATGGTTGTACCAGTTACTCAAGAAAAATTCTTATCAAATCGAAATAACAAAGACATGCTCATTAATATGTTAATTGAAAAATTACAAGCTGCAAATATTACTACTAAACAAGCCAGAGATGAAGCGGATGTTCTTATTGTTGAAACTGCAATTGAAGAATCAAAGTCTGAAAAAACTGCAGTTATAATAGGACAAGATATTGATTTACTTATCATTTTAATTAGGCGTACACTGTCTTACGAACAAGAAATTTTCTTTAAAAAAGTTGGGAAAGGAAATGTAAAAACGGAGATATACTCGACTAAAAGTTTTGATAATTATCCTCATTCCAAAACACATATTTTATTTCTGCACGCATTAAGTGGCTGTGACACAACTTCTGCGCTTTTTAAAAAGGGAAAAAAATCATTTTTAAAAGTTTTTGAGAAACTGTCAAATTTGGATGAACTAGCTGCAGCATTTGAGGAAGAAAATTGTTCGGCCCAGAAATTATTAGAGAGTGGAACTAAAACCTTATTGGCAGTCTATAATGCTTTGAAATCTGTGAAAAGTCTCGATCATCTTCGTTATATACAAAACTTAATAAACCTGTGCAGCTTTCAAATATTCCACCAACAAGTGCAGCTGCTCATCAACATTTCAAACGTGTATATTATCAAGTTCAAACTTGGTTAGGGCATGATTTGGAACCCAAGGTGTGGGGTTGGGCAATGCGAAACGATTTTCTGGAGCCTATCATGACAATTGTACCACCTGCTCCAGAAGATTTGCTAAATACAATTTTCTGCAACTGCAAGAATGGTTGTGGTTCGCGATGCGGATGCAGGAAAGCGGGCTTGCAATGCTCTTTAGCTTGTGGCCAATGTAATTGGCAAGCTTGTCTCAATGCTCTACCATATCAGAGCGACATTAACGAAGATGGAACCTTTGACCCCGAAATCATGGAAGGCGTTTTCGACCGGAGGCACCGGTTGACCAGAAGTGATGCTGTGACCGTGCGCTCTCCACCCTCTATTTTTTAAACAAAATTTGTAGAGAATTTTGTATTCTACAATAATGATAATAATATTGATAATAAATAAATAAAAACCCATAGGAAATGAGATATTTACAAAAAAAGCGCAAAAAAACCGATTTTTGTGACCTTTGACCTTGAAATTTAATAGTTGCGTACACCCTACCATATGTAGGTTTTGAGACAACTTTTAGGGTGTCAATATACAAGTATTTACAGACTTACAGCTGGGTATCTCGAATTCCGAGGTGAACTTACTATAATGACTGGACCATTAATTTTTCTTTTGGTTTCGTCTGACTTTTTCGAGGATTTCAAATCTCTGTTTGCATATTTAAGAGTATAAATAATTCAATAGTGTACATTTTCGCAAATTGTTGACAAGGATAACCAAATTCTATTTTGCTCATCTCAAAAAGGCATGCGTTGGAAATTACAGGCTTAGTTGACAAACTATCAAATAGAGATATAAATATTTTTTCTAATTTGAAAATATAAAAGAGAAATTTTTCGCTGGGAGATTTTGAATTGCCAAACACCTTTTCTTCAGAGTCGTATGCGTTAGAATTGTTAAGTAAATTGCATTCTTCTGAGAAATTTACGCAAATTTCGCAAGAGTGGATATGTAATGATTTTTTGATTAAATAGCCACATACATAGTTAAATGCATTTTGAGTGGTCACATTTAGCTCCCTGTAGTCACATTCAGAAATCGTTATTGCCCCAACTGATTGTTTTGAAATATATTTAATTTTCATTAAGCGGAGAACTTGTTTTCCTAAGGGAAAAACGAATCCCGGGATTCCTTTCCAGTGTGTGCCCCACTGCCGCTAGTGCCAACGAGCCGCCACTGGTATGTAATAGATATTATTTATTTGTTATATTATTTTATCATACAATCAAATAAGAGTCAATTGATAACTACCTGGAAAGAGTATTTCGTTAAATAAAAAAAAGTAAAGCTGTTAGTAAGAAAAATAAGTGTTAATTAAATATTACTGAAGATAAATACAGAAAATACCTGACTAAAACAGAGCATCCCATCGGAAATATACCACCGCAATTTTTCATCGACCACTTCGATGTCTTTGGAAAACCGAGCCAATATTCGACCCAACGGGACGGTATCGAAAAAATACATGGGCGACCGAAATATACCGAACAGCAATTTTTGGTGCAAGAGCACAGCAGCTGCCAAAGTTCCCAGTTGAATTCCTAGTTCACCACCAATAGCTGGTATAGCTAAAATGTTTTAGTAAAAAAAATGCTTTTAGCGAAAATCAGTGAATTGTGTAGCACGCCCTTAGCATTTAGTAAGGTAATTTGTTAATATTTGATTTCTGATAAGTATACCAAAAAAGGTTAAAGTTAAAACTTTTATTAAATAACAAAAAGAAAAGTGAGGTGAGAAAAATCGGTTGAGATTCGAAAAACTGAAATGCAATTTAGGAAATATGAAAATATGTAATGGCCAATTCCCCTTATGAAATTATGAAATGAAAACAAACCAAAAATCTTCAGATCTTGAAGCACATTGCACAGATTTGGACTCTCGTAGGCGCAAACACATTCTAATCCCATTCCAGCTCTCTCAATTCTCCTTAAACCACACAGTATAGTAGAACGACAATCTCCAATTCTACTAGAATAAATATTAAGTGTTCGAGTATGATCAGTCGTAAACATAAAATGACAAAAGTGAAGTGAAAAAATCGATTTAGATTCGAAAAAGTGAAATGAAATTTAGTTTGAAACATGAAAATATATAATCTCCAATTTACACTTATTAAATACACTTCGATATCTCTAAAAAAAGTATTAAAAAGGAACTACAATTTATTAATAAAGAATAAGCAATTTAGTAACGGATGAAAGACGTGAATGTAAAATGATGAGCAAATTAAGGGAATAATAAAGTATTAGTAAAGTTAGCATGTATTTTTAAGTGAAAATAGCCAATACAAAATTGTTATATCAAGATACCAAGAAAAATGTAATAAATAAAATTCAAAAAATTAATAATTGAAAAAGTTAAAAGATTTTAATACAAAGTTTGGTTATTAGAGTACAAAAAATTGAAAAAGTATTTCCTTGCGTTTTATTTTGGAGTTAATGATATTCCTAATTGACTTATATAACTTGATTTATTTCATTAAACGTTTATTTAAAGCGTTCTTTGCAAAGCTATTAGAAATCGAAATATTAACAAATTACCCTGCTTTTGTGTATATAGTGGTGTGTGTTTAGTTGCATTACCCTGCTTTTGTGTGTATAGTGGTGTGTGTTTAGTTGCCGAAGCCATTCAACTAAGTAACCTACATTGACGCTGCGTCTGTAAGGATCATTTACAAAAAAAAAAATTGTTAGTCAAGCAGCAAATTTTCAAATTCACGTAAACTAACCCAGCACCTATAACCGATTTTCCGATAAGAGCGAAAAGATGACATATCGAATAAAGTCTAATTTTAAAGCATTTATATAGCGGTAAAAATATTTTTAATTTTATTATGGAATTTATAAATTAAATGTGGAGCAATTTTTAAAAATGGCTCCTCTGGAAACCGGAAGAAAACAGATGCCAATTGTACTTTCTAATATTGATAGATTTAATATTACTTTTGATAATATAATATTTGATTAACATGTAAATAGATATAAGCATACTATTCAAAACTTATTAATGTAATCTTTATTTTTTAAATCCCTCTCACAATCATGTATACTGGTGAGGGTTAAATAAATAACCAAAACATTGTCGTGTTGAATAAAACATTAGAAGAAAGTATTTTCTTTTAGAGAATTCAGGATAAAAAATTATCTAAATACAGAATAACATTTCATCTAATTAATCATTTATGAATATCCAGAAAGACCGCACAGTGTAATACACAATAAATCGAATTTATAATGTTTGTTATAGCATTAAACCTGCTCAAAATTGAATCACTTTTACAGTTAGCAATTTTTCTCGTTTGCAATACTCTAAGACATCCAAGTACTACCCAGGCTCAGTACCTACTGATTAACTGCAGATACTGAAACAAAGAAGGGAACCTATTTTTCAATACACCATGAAGAATATTAAACATTATATGTGAGGGTAGCCATATGTGAGTTATAGGTACAGAAGACTAAGGTTGGTGGAAAAAAATCCTTTATTTTTCACATAGTTATTTAATGAGCATACATATTTATATTCCCGACTTTATTGTTTTTATTTTTCTATTTAAGATTCTTGAAAAGGGAGCAGAGGTCTTTTCAATTTTTGGAAAATCTTTTACACAAGTTAATTTTGGAATCATTTCATGTATCATCTCATTTTGCACTGCTACCCCATCCCTTGAAATTGGATTAGAAAAGGTGAGTCGTGCGACACATCATTAGAAATGTTTTTCTTCTGAATATAACGAAAAAAAATAATAATTTGAAATCTATTTATTTGTTTTTCGAATATTAAACTTTGACAATTTTAATACATCTAAAACATACAGCATTAAATGTGAAAGTGCACTGAATCCGAATTTATACGTTTTTCAACTGTTATTTTTTAATATACAGGGTAAAAGGTCTTTACAAAAACATACCACATATTCCTTAGACCAAAATAAGTCGATTTAAGTAAAATTACCTTAGTACAAAGTTGCTTCGTTTGGGCTCCAGAGGGCCTTGAAGTTACAATTTTTAAATCGTTTTTCCCATATAAATTTAAAACGGCATATGCGATTTTGCTGAAATTTGGTATATTGGTAGAGTTTTATATGGCAAAAAAAATGGTATTAAAATTTTGTCCGATAATAACACATAGGCGTAGAACTTGATTTTTTAAATAATTGCACCTTTAAAAATTCTACGCCAATGGAAGAAAAGGAGTTTGAGTATGAAATTTAGATTGCGCAACTCATTTACTTTAAAAAAGGTACTCTTGATAAGACTCGATTACTCTCATGGTTTTGACGAAATTTGCATTTTAGTAATTTTAGAACATAAACAATAATTATTAAAATACAAACTTTGTCAAAACCATGAGAGTAAATCGAGGGTTATCAAGGGTACTTTTTTATAATAAATGAGTACCCAATCCAAATTTCATACTCAAACCCCTTTTCTGCCATTGGCGTAGAATTTTTGAAGGTGCAATTATTTAAAAAATCAAGTTCTACGCCTATGTATTATTATCGGACAAAATTTTATACGATGAAAAACATAAAAATGTACTTTTTTCATATCTTCTTCAACAACTCTAATCGAGACTTTTAACAAAAATACTCGATTCTTGCCATGTACGATTTTTTTGAGGAATATTAATTATTTGCCTGCAATACGTATACAAAAAAATTTATTGTTGGTTTCCATAGTTTCATCTAAATAAAAATATTGTCAAGTTTTAACACCTAATCTCTTGTTAACGATTTAAAGTGTTCTATCTGACTCAATAATTAAAAAAACAAATGCGTGGTTTATTAATATGGCTGTACAATATACCAATGCACAATATACCGATATGTTACTGACATTAGGATTTTGTGAAGGAAATGCTCGAGAGAGTGTCACGGTGTACTCTGAAAGGTTTCCAAATCGTCGTGTACCTAGCCACCCAACTTTTGCTGCTGTTGAGAGACGTCTTCGGGAGACCGGTTCCTTTGCTCCCAACACTGTTGATAATGGAAGAGAACGTTTTGTAAGGATTCCTGAAGTTGAAGACATTTTAAAACGTGTTGAAGATCCAGAATTAAGCACCAGACGAATTGGAAGGGAATTAGGAGTAAGTAAAGATGTCGTTTATAAAGTGCTTAGAGAACAATTGCTATATCCATACCATAAGAAGCCAGTACAAGAATTATTAGTCCATGATCCTCAAATTCGTTTGGGTTTTTGTCGATTTGTTAATATGCAAAGAGAAAGAGATCCAAACTTTGTCAAGAAGGTTCTCTTTACCGATGAAGCGGGTTTTACAAGAAGAGGTATAATTAATACCCATAATGAACATGTTTATGCCGTTGAAAATCCGCATGCAATAATGGTAAACCATTTTCAGCACGAATTCAAAATTAATGTGTGGGCTGGAATAATTGGTAATTTCATTGTTGGTCCTGTCATACTTCCACGAAGATTAACTAGAGAAAATTATTTGGATTTTCTACAAAATACGTTGCCAGAATTGTTAGAAGATTTACCTCTCCAACTTCGGAGAGATATGTGGTTTATACAAGATGGAGCTCCACCACATTTTTCTTTAAACATTAGAAACCTCTTGAATGAACAATATCCACACAAATGGATAGGCAGAGGTAATGACGCACCTGTAAACTGGCCACCACGTTCTCCAGACCTAACACCGATGGATTACTTTTTATGGGGACATCTGAAATCCACAGTTTACAAGTACTTGTAGAAAATGAGGAACAACTCTGGCAACGTATTCAAGATGCAATAAACAATCTTAGAGGTGATGAAGAAGTTATGGAAAGGATACATTTTAATTTTCTTCGACGTATAAATCTTTGTATGCGTGAAAATGGTGAACATTTTGAACAATTTTTGTAAAATCTCTATTTTGATTATGTTGTAAATAAATATTTTTGTGAAACCTATACACTCTAAATTATTAAAACAGAAATTTAGCGAAAACCATGAGAGTAATCGAGTCTTATCAAGAGTACCTTTTTTAAAGTAAATGAGTTGCGCAATCTAAATTTCATACTCAAACTCCTTTTCTTCCAAGTTCTACGCCTATGTATTATTATCGGACAAAATTTTAATACCATTTTTTTGCCACATAAAACTCTACCAATATACCAAATTTCAGCAAAATCGCATATGCCGTTTTAAATTTATATGGGAAAAACGATTTAAAAATTGTAACTTCAAGGCCCTGTGGAGCCCAAACGAAGCAACTTTGTACTAAGGTAATTTTACTTAAATCGACTTATTTTGGTCTAAGGAATATGTGGCATGTTTTTGTAAAGACCTTTTACAGAATCTTAAAGAATTTAAATTTTGTGGATAGCATAAGCAAATGATTAAAGCAATTATTTAGATATTAATTTAAGAGTTAAATGCCGTGGACACATTTTAAGATGGATGAAATTGGTTAGTAAGTCAATATTTTTTTCGTTTACGAAAATAGATACCTCATGTAAACAGTGGAGGAACCAGATGATGAAAGCTTTCAAAGTTTCGTCCAAGTCTAAAATGTCTTTAGAAAAACGTGACAATATCCTGCCGACGGGTATTGTATCGAA